GGAATGTTATCTAGGAAGCAGTTGAATGATTTCAGTATCTGTTACAGTTCTTTTAAAACTTTTTGGTTTAATCGTTGAACCCTTCCAGTCACACAGGAGAGATCAGCCATAGAGCATTTGTCATCTGGAATTGCTTTCCAACTCTTGTGCAATGTAGAAAATGGACCGGTAATCAAAGCCAACCAAACTATGACTCAAAAGCTGCGTAAAGGTTGCCTGCCTGAACCTCCTAAAGAGTATTTTTATTTTTGGCTAACCAGTTAAATCAGTCCGCTTTCAGAGTGAAGTGGAGATTGCAAAGCACATGAAAATACATGAAAATCCTGGAGAAGAACCATATCTTTGCTCCACCAAATCTGTTGGTTGAACTGATAAGAAAAAAAGGCATGAAAAAGAGTAGTTTAGACTAGATTTTGGGAAAACATTCTTTTACTTTGTTCCAGTGGTCAGGCACTGGAACAGGTTGTAGAGAAGCTGTGGATGCCCCATATCTGGAAATATTTAAGGCCAGTTGGATGGAGCTCTGAGCAGACTGGTCTAGTGAAAGGTGTTCCTGCCCATAGCAAAGAGGTTGAAACTAGCTGATCTTTAGGGTCCCTTCCAACCAAACCATTCTGAGATTCTCTGATTCTATGAAGGACATCAGAATCACCTGAAGAGCAGGGTGTCCTAAGCATGAGTCTACAGATTAATTCCATCCTGATTCATGAATGCTGCATTTTTCAATGATCACATCTAATGTTTTTGCATCCTAAAGTCAACAGGCATCTTTTGATTTAAAAAAAAAAAAAAAGAAATCAATATATGTATACTCTTGTTCAACAGCTAGAGAATTAAGTTCCACTCATTATAGCATTCTAAAAAGCTCCTGATTCAAGAAGGCTTTTTATTTCATTAGTGGGAGTCTTCCAGGAATTTATCCCATTCCCCAGATATACAAATGCATCCTTTCGAGGCACAGAGGAGGATTCCTTCCTAACCATGGGGATTCCATCACCCTCAGGGTGCTCATCTTAGCCAGCTTCTCCAACAAGCTCTTATTCATCCAATCCTCCCAATAAATCCCCTCGTGCAATGCCTCAGCAGAAAACAGCTCTGTGGGAACCCAGAGAACTTGGGGAGAGTGAACCACTCACAGACCACGTTACATGTCAGTGAAACAAATGTGTCCTTGGAAAAAATCACTTTCTCAGATACTGTCCCCTTACTACTCAGGTGAAAACAGCTGCAATACCACAGACAGTAGAACTTCAATCCAGAAGGACATGTGTGTACATCACATCATGTATTCACTACCTTTTT